TAACTTGTATTTTACATCAAGATATTCTTCTCATATGATGAATTAGTTAAAAACTCTTTTACGAGGAACACGGTGATGATTCAGCCATAACAAACTTGAACATATGAAGCTCTTATTGCATATTGTTTGCTCAGAGGACTAGTTGTCTCATGTTGTTCCATGAAAAGACCCACTATGAAGCTATAATTCCCAGTCATACGAAGTATCATGCTCACACTGGTGGATATCATAAATAAACCATAATCAATTTCACATTATTTCATTCAATATATGTTGAGAGCGAATTCATTGTATCATTTTAGCTTATCAATTCATTTTTAAGTGGTCAAAACCTCATTTTTGATCACCTACTTCATTTGAATGGCATTTAAAGCCTAGACACTTCGGTCGGTTGAATGATGTTGCGTGAAACTCAAAAAACATCGTTATGGGATAAATTTTAATTCGTTAAAATTAATTTTGAAATAAAATTGAAAGTTGTTGAATTCAGTTGTATCCGAGAGAATTTGACCGAGAATGCCAATGTGCACTCCTCTGGCATCCAGCACGATCAGTGACGTCGATACATGTTCGGTAAAATAGCGTGATCGGTGATCTTGACGATTTGTTCGATACCGTATTTGAATTTGCATACTCCTTTGGTTGTATAGGTGACGATCTGTAAGAGAGGTTAACTGTTTGAAACAATTTTACTCTCAAAAATGATATATATTCTAAATTTTAGTACTCTGAATGACCCCAAATACACATATTATCATTCCACTCGTTACGATTTCAGTGAGTTTTGATCGAGGATACCTGATGCATCTAAGATAACTGTGGGTTGGGAATCGACATGCCTATTCTGATAAGTGCTAATCTGGAACTAGGAAGTGGAAAATGTCTTTCTCAGAAGAGCTATTCAAGGAACAAGCATTCTTGTGGACTCTTTATGGTTTCGGATATTTCGAGAATGATTTTTTGAATAATTTCACAATTTAAACTTACGTCGTTTTTGATAACGAAACCCATCGCTGCACTATTCGGTAGGCCACGAATAATATCGGCAAGTTTGCCCTCCAAAATGGTTACCAAACAATTGTTCTCTTTCAAATTGGTCACAGTGACAATCACTCGTCCGGACAAACGACATTCCACAGTGAAATTTCTAAAATACATCTTCACTGTTTCTGAGCTGGTTCGTTTGGGAAGTCGAAACTCGAAAAGACTCGGAAACTCGAAGAAAAGACATATCATGACGATGGATCATCATTTATTGGTATGGAGAAATCTTGACTTCATCTCTGACCCAACCTAGTAATACGTATAGGTACGTTGTCGGTGATATGAAACGATTGTCTCAACTGTCATTAAGGTGTGTTATCGTATTGTCCATATACTCGATAAGGGCTGGATTGGGAACTGCTAGGGCTCAGGGAACTTCAGTCTCAACTCTCAGGATATTCCCACCTCGAGGACAGTCGAGCTCAACTTGGCTTTCGACCCCACTCTATTTCTAATCATCAAACACGCTTGTCAACGAAGAACCGAAATTGACCAAATTGGCTGGGCTGGAATTAAGGCACCCTTGATGTGCTGAAGTTCATTCAGGATTAAGCTGATGCACGTTCATACACATATACGGTTTGTATTGCAATCGTATTATGAAGATTCAAAGAAAGAGGTATGATCGCTTCTTGACATAATCCCTCATGTTTTTTGTCAGTTGGTGAATATTGCGAAATTTGGTCAGTTCAGCAGTCAAACTAAGATACTATCGGTGGATATTTGATTGGTGATTTAGAATATTGCTGCAAATCTTATCTTCAAGAAGGTAATCCACTCGGTTTAGCACTGATCATGTCAGAACTGTTGTCAAAATTATGACCGAATAAAGCAACGGATTCGATTCGGTCTAGGTCTGCTTGTAAGAAAACTCATTGAATGAATTCTCTTGTCGCTTGAGAAGGTTTCTGAATTTGGTTGATGAGATGAGAAAGGGAACTAATCATATAAACTGATGGGTACGTAAATGATTGACCTGACATGCTGATCTTCAAGAATGACCAATTGAGCGACGGTTTC